GACCCTCTTTGAAATCTAAAACCATGGTTGGAATCAAAAACAACCAAATGGTAAAAATCATAGTACAAAACTAAAAGTGAAACCAAGGATGATGACTTGGCAACATGAGGTTTGAGTATTCCTTAAATCTTGATTAAAGTTGATTTTCATCATCTCACATCGATGGAAAAATTTGGAACAAGATGATTGATGTATAAAAGTGTGATGGATGTTTTGAAACCTATAACCATGGTTGAAATCAAAACCAACCAATTGGTAAAATTATAGTACAAAACACACAATTAAAATCTCTATCTTTATGTGATAACCGGGTCTTGGTTATCACCTGAGGTAACTAATGCGTGATCATTTATTATATGTTATATGTCAGCATGATAAATTGATATATTTGATCATGCAAGTATGTGAATTTTATGAAAACATATGTATGCACTATGTGAATATATATATATATATATATATATATATATATGCATGATTATGTATGTTTTGCATACATATGTTGGAATGCATGCATGAGGTGTATGCATGGGTATGTATGTATGTGTGCATAGGTGGGTATAGTCGCCTTTCTTTTTAGAGAAAGGGGTATAAATAAGAAGGTGGGTTTCAAAATTTGGTTTTTCTGCTTCTTTGGAAAAATCGAGGTCTTGTTCGGATTGCTTATTAACCGGATACTTGAAGTCGGAATCAAGTTGGATTTAAATTTGGTTCTCAAAAGTATTTCAAAAGGTGAGTGGTTAAATGTTTTAAAAATTACCTTGAGCTACATACCTGATTTGTATTATAACTTATTACCCGGATTAGACTTAAATCGGACAAAGTGATGTCCGATTTGTGCTAAATCGGACACGTGTTGTTCGATATAGTCTAAAATCGATTATAGTGTTATACGATTTAAAAAGTTAGTGAGATTTGAAATATATAAATCGGACAAGGATGTTGAACGGAGAAGTAGGAATATGATCAAGGTTACCCGATTTGTTTATAATCTGAATGAAGTAATGTCTGGTTTAGATGTAAACCAGACAAAGCTTGATCGAGTTAATACCAAGTTTGTCCGGATTTGTAAATCGGACAAGAAGACTTGTAATGTCCGGACTTGTAAATCGGACAAGAAGAATTGAGTTGTCCGGATATGTAAATCGGACAAGAGGACATGTTGTCCGGATTGTTATATCGGTCAAGTCTAAACCAACCAAAGCTTGTTAAGTTTACCAGTTTTGCATTTTTGATTAAAGTGTTAAGTTCAAACTAAATTATATTTATTCTTTTATGATGATAAAGAATGAGAATTGTTGTAAAGATGATTTTGAACTGATGATGTTCCAATAGAAGATTTATGACTACTGTCTGTTCTAATTGGAAATATTTTTATAAAATGATTTGATGAGAAAATAAGGGTGGCATATCAAGAAGAGGTGTACCATGGGATAAGGGTGACATATCAAGGAGAGGCTAACCATGGGATAAAGGTGGCATATCAAGGAGAGGTGTACCTTTTGATATAAGAGTGACATTTGTATGTGTGTTACATGATATAACTCTTATTATTATATCCTTTAAGATTACCGTGATTTGGAATCTTTATTTCTTTGTGATTTAAAGATTTAGAATGAGGGTTCTTATTGGAAATCGTAGTTTGGATGTTGTTGAGAAGGGATAACAGGTTTATGGCCTGAAACTTTGAATAAACCTTGTTTAATTGGAAAGGTTTAAAAGTGGCACTATGATAAACCTGGTTAGTACAAACCTATTTGGGTTGGGATGTGTTAATTAAGTTGAGAGATTGGCTTTGGAATTGATAAGGTATTGGTATTATGTTTTTACTTGTTCATATATTTGTTATATATATATATGAAAAGTTGTTTTAAATAAAGTTTTGGTGATTCTCACCCTGCAATAACATAAAAAGGGAACTCACTAGACCTTTCGGTCTAAATATGTAATGCAGTAAATGCAGATGGTAAGGGAAAGGGGAAAATTTGATATTTTTTCTATATGCATATCTGCATAAAGATTTGTCTATGATGTATAGTTTTGATAGATGAACTTTGATTAGTACAAGAAATATATTTTGGAATTTTTGGGCCATGTATTCTATATGGTAGATTCTTGTACTAAGGGACCTGAGTGGTGTATAAACATGTATTTCTTGTGTATGAAGTATGTGTTACATGCAATGTGTGGTATGGGGTGTTACAGAAAGTGATATCAGAGCCTAAGTTTAAGGGATTTAGGTATTTAACAGCATGATACCTAGACTTAAACTATTTCATTGCATGTTAAGGGTCCCGCACATAGTTAGCACCATTGGAAATAAATATGATGAGTTAAAAGAACAATGTGTAAGGTAAATTTTAATTACATCTGGCCAGTGTAATTATGAATTTACAGGTACATATCTGGACTTGAATACTTCATTATATTTGGGAATGTTTATACGTGATCATTAACATTGAAATCTACAGATGTCTAGCCGAACGCGGAGATCTGAGAGAATGGCTCATCATGAGTTTGAGGAAAGGGAGGAATCACCCGTTAATCTTCCAACAAGTACTTCTGGAAATAGAGGTCGGGGAAGACCAAGGGGAAGAGGTAGAGGGAGAAGCCATATACAGGGAAGGGGTCGGGCTGAAACACATTCTGAGCATGAAGAATCCCATTCTAGGAATGTTCAGAAGGGACCAGTGCCACATCCAGAATACATAACAAGAAACATGCTGGCCGAGGAAATGGGGAAGTTAAGGGAAACCTTGACATCTATTATGGGAATACCGGCAAGGGTGGAAACGGAAAGGATGGAAGTACATCCCTCTGTTCCAGTTGCTCCCAATAAGGAAGGAGATATCAAAATGTTTTTGACTTGTAAACCGCCAACTTTTTCTGGGGAGAGAGATCCAGTGAAAGCTATGTGCTAGATTAAGAAAATAGAATCTGTGTTTAATATCATTCGATGTCCAGAAGCAGATAAAGTTTGATTTGCTGTATCAGTATTGAAGTCCAATGCTCTGTTTTGGTGGGAAGTGAAGTCTTTAGCCAGGACAGATATATATATATATATATATATATATATATATATATATATATATATATATATAAGGAAAATCTTGGGATATTGAGATGGCACCATAAAAATTGAGTATTCTCAAATGATGAATTGTGGTTGAGTTTTAATTGTTCCACATTGGTGTAGAGTTGAAAGATTTGGACAAATGTAAGTGTATAAAAAAGGTGGATTGGATGTCTTTGTGTCAAATCATGGGGTTTACATCATAGGGTTGTCTTATTTTGGATGACCCTCTTTGAATTTTATAACCATGGTTGAAATCAAAACCAAACAAATGATAAAAATTATAGTGCAAATATAAAAGTGAAACTAAGGATGATGACTTGACAACATGAGGTTTGATTGTTCCTCAAATCTGAAATAATGTTGATTTTCATCATCTCACATTAGTAGAAAGATGATAGTTTGGAAGAAAATGATGGATGTATAAAAGCATGATAGAGATTTTGAAATCTATAACAATGGTTGAAATCAAAACCAACCAATTGGTAATTTTTTTGTGCAAAACGAATGCAAATGATACATTTTTTTTTCTTAACAAGAGTTGTGATTATTGTAGTACTTATAATAACAAATGTAGTTTAAGTATATAATTTATCATTTATATATATAATTAAAGTGTTGACTTAATGACGTGCTTCCATATGATGTTAATATTCTCCAAATTGTGATTTACGGTGTTGGATGAGGCGTTATAAATATAAATACAATCCAGAGTTTTTAGACACATCGCACTTCCACTCGATTCGAGGCTTTACATTTTTTCTTAAATTGAGTTTTAATCACCATGCAATGCGCGGTGTATTAAAAGTTCAAATATGAAACCTAAATATCGTGAAAAGGTAAGAGATGGTCCATATGTGAGTCAGTGAAAAAATCTATTTGCAGATATATATATATATATATGTGTGTGTGTGTGTGTGAACCAAGGTTATACGAGTTATTCATATATATCTGGTTCCATATGCATCTTCAAATTTGTTTTCTAAATGATTCATATATCAACCTTCCCTTAACCTTATCTTCTCATAATATATGACATTCTTATTTGAATTGGCATATATATATATATATATATATATATATAGAGAGAGAGAGAGAGAGAAAGAGAAAGATTCATACGAGAATGGTACATCTTTTAAAAAAATAAGAAAATGGTCGAATCACATGTGATTTTACATTAACATCACATACAAAATCACATGTGATTTATGCGACCTCGCCATGCGGTCATAGAGTTGCTTGCACACTTTTTTTACCGTTAATGTAATTCACATGTGATTTTGTATATAATTTGACAATTTTCTTAAATATGTATTATTATCAGTCTCCATAATCGTCGATTATCAATTCAGGATCTTGAAAGAAAAGAATCAAAACTGTTGGTAAAAACATCAAAATCGTGAACCTAAAGATTTCACTAACGGTCCGTAAATTGCCATCGGTAATTATCGTACGATGATTTATCGAAAAAATGATTTGTCATTTTCATTACGATGGAATACCATCAAATCATGCCGTCTGTAGATTCCATCCTTAAAAATATACAATGCTTTTTGAATTAATTTCACAAGGATGAAAATTATGTAACGACGTTCATTGTGGTTAAATCTGTTGACTGAAATTAAATAACTGCTAGTAATGGCCATCGGTTTTTCCTTGCCCACTTTTTTCTGGACGGGTTTTTCACTGAAGGACGCAATTTTCTATAACTTCCTTCTGAAAAATCCGTCGGTTATGGTTTTTACCGATAGTCCCTCGCTCAGTGATGCTTTGTTGTTTTGTAATGCTCGTCAAGGTGCAATGGGTTACACTCGTAAGGATATTGATTTTGTATCACCTTAGTATATATTCTTTGTACGCTTATAAATTAATGGAGGACGTTACATTAAATCAATTTGCCCCACCACAGTTTTTTATTTTGTAAACAATAAAATGTAGTTTTGGTGACCCATTTCTATAAAACAACTTATACTTGGTCAAAAAAATATATAACAAGTTATACAAATGTCGAGTTGTGGGCTCCATTCTCTTCCCTGAAAGAAGATTACCGTTTTGCCGGTTGACTTTTGAGCTTCTATATCATGCTACTCGTTGCTGTACAACAACCATTTCAGATTCTACTTCTTCATGAATAACTATGTCTGCTACTGGCCATCGCAAGGACTCTGAACCCTCCACCTCCTCCTCCTTACAAGGGTCCGAACCGTGTCGACACTTTGAATTTTCTGAGATTCAACAAGCAACCAATGACTTTGATGAATCATTAGTAATCGGGCATGGAGGATTCGGAAAAGTTTACAGAGGTAACATTATCAATGGATCAAGTCTTGTCATTGCTGCCGTTAAACGACTGGATTCCATGTCCAGTCAAGGAGCAGCTGAGTTTTGGGCCGAAGTCGAGATGCTATCTAAGTTGCAGCACTGTAATCTTGTGTCTTTGATTGGCTATTGTAATTACGGAAAGGAGATGATCCTTGTCTATGAATATATGCCGAATGGAACACTTGAAGATCATCTTCATAACCTTGGTACTCCTCTTTCTTGGCTTGAGCGGCTCAACATCTGCATAGGTGCAAGTCGCGGATTACACTACCTTCACACTGGTACAGGGATTCAAGTTGGGGTTATACATCGCGATGTCAAGAGTTCAAATATTTTGTTGCACGAGAATTGGGCAGCTAAAATTTCGGACTTTGGGTTGTCCAAAATAAGCCAAACGAATCGGCCATCCACTTATGTCAAAACTGTTGTTAAAGGCACTTTTGGGTATCTAGATCCCAATTATTACGCAACTGGAAAGCTGACAAGGAAGTCTGACGTGTATGCTTTTGGGGTGGTATTGTTGGAAGTGTTGTGTCGGAAGCGCGCGGTGGATACAACTCTTGATGAGGAGCAATGGTTGAATTTAGCAAGATGGGCTCAAGAATCTATCAAAGAAGGCAATTTAAAGCACATAATTGATTCCGATATAAGGGATCAAATATCCCCAAAATGTTTGAAGGAGTTTGTTCGAATTGCAGAGAAATGTTTGCACAACAATCCAAAGCAGCGCTCAACCATGGCAGAGGTTGTGGTCAGTCTTGAGTCTGTACTAACCTCACAAGAGAAATTCAATAATTCAATGCAAACCCCACGCAAAACAATATTTGGTAGAATGGTTAATATGCTTCCCTTCCCCTTCAAAGGAGAAAATTATGGTATTTCAAGCTCCTCTTTAAAATTGTGTTTATCCATTTCTACATATATTAGCATAACGGCAACGAACATATAGAAATGTCATCTTCCGAACTCAAAAAATGAAAGTGCACAGACCTTAATTCGTGTATGCATGTTATAGCTTGTAGTTTAACACCTGAATCTCATATCTAGCCCCAGACTGTGAGGACAAACTTTTTAGAGCTTGAACATCCTAAAAAAGATTTGGCAACAACTTCATGTCTTTTTGTCCTTTCCATGAAAACCTTATATTGTTTCAGAGACCAACTTTTCGCTGTTTTTTTGTTTCATTCTCTTCACCCAGATATTTTTTTAATTGCATCAATCAGCTTACAGTTTTCTTGGCCCCTTTATATGATTTCATTGTTTTTATTATTACTTCGGTTAATAGAGATGTAAACCATATATTATATGCGGTGTATCTTAGAACAGAAATTATAAAGTGGTCGACCAAGAAACATAAACGGGTGGGTGGAATGCTTTTTTCAATGATGAGGTCCTTTCTTCTACACAGTTGTAAGGCAAACTCATTTGATGTATTCAGCTTCCTCAAAACACTTTCCACTAATTCTCTCCCTTGTGGATCCCCCAACTTTAACCTCTTGTAAATCTAATCATATCCTCTTCGTCTTTTCAGCATCCACATTTCTATGACACTCATTTTGTGTACATGTACTACTTTGGTTGCTAAACAGTATTTTCTTGAAATCATATTGGCTTTATTGGCATCCTATAGGACCTTGCTTTCAGCTTCGATGGAGATCACAGAAACCTCCAAATCATTGTTGTTCAATCCGCTATGCTGTTATAGTCTCTTCATCTGGAATACTGATCCAAATCAACAGAAGATATATTTTTTAAGTTCTAACTTCTCATGAATCAAGCCGAAGTATGCTTGCTTACCAAAACGAAAGCACGGAAAGCGAGAATCTTTCCTCAGAGGCACGGAAAGCTGATAGGAGAACTTCACTTACTAAATTTCTTGAGTAGCGAGAATCTTTCCTCAGAGGCACGGAAAGCGGATCTCTCTCTTTTTAGATATCTATAGATAAAGAGAGAGAGGTGTGGAAGTCAGTAGATCCCTCACTCCTCACCGGCTTACGGAAAGAGATCCCTAAGGGAGATCTCGATATCTGTGGAGAGGACAAGAATGAATCCTACTAATGCGTGGTTAAAGCGCCCAACCGGGCAAATTCGTAGGTTTAATTCCTGCTGGAAGGGCAGAGCAAAGCCTTGCAGTAGGAAGGTGTTCGTTGCTGGGACGGGTAGCTTTTGCTTTAAACATCTTGCTTAGTCTCACCCATAAAACGTTATTGGTTAGAACAGTACACCATCGTATTAAAAAAGTCTTGTATGTCATTATGCCACCCATAGGTTCATCCATAACGAAAGCAAAAAGATATAGACACAATTCTGATCTGATCTTTGGTGTAAACTGTGGTAATAAGAAAATCATTTGTCCACTTGTTAAGGTTACCATGTCATATGATATATTTAATCATATTCCCTTACAGTGTAAGGACTTCTTCCCACATCACATAATTGCTTTGGTACCCTATCAAATACCTCAGAGAAATTTGATGCAGACCGTATAATCCTTTCTCATCCATTGATATCTCCATTAGTTTTCTAAAGAAGAAAATGGTCCGTGTTACTATTGATGTCCCTAGAACTAAACAAAACTGATTTTCTAATACCTTATTTGCAACCATTAACTATGCCTAATTGACAGTATAATCCTTTTACATCCATTGATATCATCCATTAGTTTTCTAAACAAGAAAATGGTCCTTGTTGCCATGGATGTCCCTATAATTAAGCTAAACTGAATTTCTAATACCTTATTCTTAACACTAAATTAACTTTGCACAATTACATGTTTCCATAGTTTTCATTTTTTATCGCACTCAAGCCCCATCCTTTGATGATTTTGACAATGTATTCTCCTATGCATATGCTAGCCTAGGTGATAGGCCTTGCCTAAAGCCTATGAGAAAGTGTGCATGAAGAGAATTCTGATATTTAAAGATGTTGAACTGTGACCCTTCAAGTTTGTTCATATCGCATATGGCATACTTGCTGTATCAGTACAGTGATTTTCAGTATACTTAATACCCATAGCATATGGTCCTTGACCTCTTTTTGCACAGCGATCATGAATTTAAAGATGATAAACTAGAGAATTCATATTAGTCATGTATCATAACCTGGTGAAATAAGCAAATGATTGGGTGTTAACTTAATTTGTATAGAATCCATTTGCATTCATCTCTTTCAGGAATAAACCTGTTGTCCCAATTTTTACTGTCCCCTCCCTATCCAACCAATCACGTAAAAACATGTCATTATTTTATTTAACCACTTCTTCTATTCTTCTTAATAAATGTATGATGTTGATTCACATGATTGTTGGACAGGAAAGGGGCAAGGAAATTTGGGACAACAGATTTTTGTTCCTATTCCAGCCCCGGGTAATTCGAAGCTTTCAAGTAATACCAAAGGCAACAATAGAAGTGCAGGCAGTGCCGTAGGGGCTGACCACAAGATGTTTCCAGACAAGCATTATGATTATTCTGGATTAGAAACTTTTAAGTTTGCTGATTTAAAATGGGCTACAAAAAACTTTAGTAAAGATCTGCACTTGGGTAGTGGAGGTTCTGGAAAGGTGTTCTTAGGTTGGATTGACAAGAGTACATTGGCCCCTTCAACATGTGGCAATGGGAATTCTGTTGCTGTTAGAAGGTTCAACAAAGGAAGACGTCATGTTGAACAATGGATGGTAAGTATCAGTGAATGCAAATCAACTAATATCAATAATCAGACAAGAAACTTAGATTTCCATGGAAAAACATTGCTCTAAATCTTATTCGCCTTTCACATTAAGTCATTGTGCATTTACTCAATGATATGATGATGTTTGTAATTTTATTTATGCTTAAAGTTTGTGGTGTAGCATTTCTCATGATGCTCAAACAAAAAGATCTTTCATTATTATTCCTTTGTTAGTATCGGTTGAAGCGTACGTGGAGTAATATGGAAACCTCCATTCATGATATACATCTTATTGTAAAACAGTGACATTTGAAATATGCAAAAAGAGACGTATATAAATTGTGGCTGTTAAATGAGCCTATGTGAAACTGTAATGAGTCATCTGGTACTGTAATTAGGAATAGATTTATTTTCTCGTCCATGTTTTATTTTGCGAATGCAATTAATTGAGGGGTCTTTTCATCCAACACTACTAGAAATTTTGTTTTATGAATCTTTTTGCCGAATGTAACTTCAAAATTTTGTGAGTTCAGACAGAGATGAGCTTGTTAGGAGGGCTGGCTCATCCAAATATTATTAGGCTATTGGGATACTGCAATGATGAAAAGCATGAGTACTTTCTTGTTTACGAGTACATGGAGAACCGAAGTTTCGATCACATTTTATTCACAAGTAAGCTATCTTAGAATCTCGATAACTATCTGATGGATTAACTTTTCTCAGAAGTTGAATTAATGCAATCAATATGAATAATTTTGCAGCTGCCAAACCACTTTCATGGGGAATACGCCTTATTGTTATGATAGGAGTTGCTCGTGGACTCACTTATTTGCATTCGTCAAAAAATCAAGTCATATGGCGTGGTGTTAAAACCTCTAATATATTGCTGGACCAGGTACTGTTATGCTATTCATGATTTATGGTAGTTCTCAGTTAACCATTGATTTTCACTTTATCTTATTCCAGGATTTTAATGCAAAACTGTGGGATTTTGGTTTAGCAAAATTTGGTCCTAAAATCGGGAAAACACATTTTAGTACAGTGTTCATGGAAGACTATGTTTATGTAGCCCCAGAAGAGTATCTGCAGACGGGTAAGTTGCAGTATAATGAAATGATCATACTAAAAGCTGCAGAGGGTTGATGTTTGCATGAGTGATTAACTTCTACAACTGCTGTATTTGATCTTTGTGAGAAACATATGATCATTCTTCCAGAGCATAAAATTCTCGTGAAGCATATGGAGAAGCATTTTTAGATGAATATTAGAGCAAACATCATGCTAGTCACATTTTCCCTGGAAGTTGGTGTATATTTTTACAAGGAATGATGGTTTGTTTTTGATAGAAAAACTAAGCGCAACCATGCGAAAGTCAATCCCTCTGCTTTGGAACCATATTGTTTGTGACTTTAAACAATACACTTCAATGTTGCAGGTTATTTGACTGTGAAGAGTGACATCTATGGCTTTGGGGTGGTGTTACTGGAAACTTTAACAGGCCTGCGGATGTTGGATGGCCATCGGCCCAATGAGCAACACAGTTTGGTGGACTGGGCAAGTCAAATCCTAGCAAAAAGAGAAACTCTGGAAGAAATTATGGATCCACGCCTTCAACAAAATTACCCGCTTGTAGCTGCTCTGAAATACGCAGAACTCACGTTAAGATGTCTTGCACACAAGCCGAAGGATAGACCTTCAAGTGAAGAAGTATTACAGGATTTGGAACAAATATATGACATTAACAAATAATGGGAGGACAACTTCTTCAGGCACAACAATACACGAATGCTATACAACACTTCAATGTACATGAAATATTACACTACAAAACAAAGGGGCTTCACCTACTGATTTTCCCGGCAGAAATTTCCGGCGGATTACCAATGGATTCTACAGGTGGTGTTCAATCCGCTTGTCACATTTTCTCCGGCAGTGATGCTTTTTCTGGCAGATCACCGACGGATTTGTGCGTCAGGAAATCCTTTTGTATTGTAGTGTTGTCACTTGAGGAATTTATGTGGTACATAAATGTATGAACTTCTCTTTTGTTGGTTACGGATTCCTTTTTTCTTTGTTTGAAATGATCTATATGTTAGTTAGTAACTGTTAGTAGCTGTTTTGAATAAGACTTGGTCATTAGATAGAGCTATTCTTTAGGAGATTCTTTTGCTATTCTTTTGCTTTTCAGTTATGTAACTGGCTATTTATAGCCCCTTCATTTCTTAGTATCAATGCAACATTCCTTCAGTATTTAGTCTCTGATTCTAACAAGTGGTATCAGAGCCATTTAAAATCTGAGAGAGTGAGCAGAACGTGAGTTTTTCCCACAGAGATTATCGATCAGAATGTCGACTCCAGCAACTGTAAAATTCGTCCAACCTGCTATCCCACAATTTGATGGTCATTATGACTATTGGGCTATGACGATGGAGAATTTTTTGAGAAGTGAGAAGCTGTGGAGTCTGATCGAAGAGGGAATCCCTATTTCCCCAGTTGGCTCTACGCAAGGCAGCGAAGCACAAAGAAAGAGCGTGGAATATGCTAAGCTGAAAGACATGAAGGTCAAGACTTTTCTCTTCCAAGCCATCGGAAGAGAAATCCTGGAAACTATTCTTGACAAGGGAACATCGAGAGCCATCTGGGAATCAATGAGGCAGAAATATCAAGGGTCCACCAAAGTAAAAAGGGCACAACTCCAAGCTTTGAGAAGGGAATTCGAGTTGTTGACCATGAAGGAGGATGAACGAGTGGACAGTTTTTTGGGACACACTCTGACAATTGTGAACAAGATGAGGTCAAATGGGGAAACAATGGAGCAAAGTACAATTGTCAGTAAGGTACTCAGATCTTTGACACCCAAATTTAATTATGTTGTCTGCTCAATTGAATAGTCAAATGATTTGAGTACCCTAAGTATTGATGAATTACATGGAAGTCTGCTGGTTCATGAACAACGGATGCAAGGCAGTCCAGCAGAGGAACAAGTGTTGAAGGTTACTCAGGAAGATCGATATGGCGTGGTAGGGGTCGAGGTGGTGCTAGAGGAGGACGTGGAAGGGGTCGTGGTAGACAACCACTTAATAAAGACATTATTGAATGTTATAAATGTCACAAGTTGGGACATTTTCAATATGAGTGTCCTGAATGGGAAAAGAAGGCGAACTATGCTGAAGGAGAGGATGAAGAAGAACTATTGTTGATAACCTGCACAGATGTTCATCAGACACAAAGAGCAGAATTATGGTTTCTTGATTCAGGTTGCAGTAATCACATGACCGGGAACAAAGAATGGTTCTCCACTCTAGATGAACAATTCAACCACACAGTGAGACTTGGTAATAATATGAAGATGTCTGTGGTCGGCAAGGGTAACATAAGGGTGCAAATAGGAGGTATAACACAAGTCTTATCTGATGTTTATTATCTTCCTGAACTCAAAAACAACTTGTTAAGCATAGGGCAGTTACAAGAAAAGGGATTAGCTGTTTTGTTTCAAACTGGAACTTGCAAAGTATTCCACCCCACCAGAGGAATAATTATGCAGACCAACATGAGCAAAAACAGAATGTTTTGCTTATCAATACCCTCTATTACAAAGAATTCTATGTGTTTGCAAGTTGAAGATGCGGCAGAAAAGGAAGCACAGTTGTGGCATCGACGATTTGGCCACCTGAACTATAAAAGTCTCAGAACACTCTTCTATAAGAAGATGGTCGATGGTCTACCATCGATTAAGTCCCCCAAAAAATTGTGCAGCACATGCTTGGTTGGAAAACAACATAGACAATCCATTCCTAAGAAGAGTTTTTGGAGAGCAACAAGGCAACTAGCGTTGGTGCATTCTGACGTATGTGGTCCTATAGATCCAGCATCAAATAGCAACAAAAGGTACATTTTAAGCTTTATTGATGACTTTTCACGTAAAACATGGGTTTATTTTTTAGAAGAGAAGTCACAAACATTTGCAATGTTCAAGATTTATAAGGCTTCTGTTGAAAAGGAAGTTGGTGCAAACATAATTTGTCTAAGAACAGATAGGGGTGGGGAATATAATTCAAACGAATTTGTGGAATTCTGTAAGAAAGAAGGCATTAAGAGGCAGTTAACTACAACATATACTCCCCAACAAAATGGGGTGGCCGAGAGAAAGAATAGGACCATCATGAATGTTGTCCGTTCAATGCTAAACGAAAAGCAAGTTCCCAAAACATTCTGGCCTGAGGCTGTTAAGTTATGTGTGCATATTCAAAATCGAAGTCCTACAGCAGCAGTTGAAAACAGGACTCCAGAAGAGGCGTGGAATGGTAAGAAGCCAGTGGTAGATTATTTTTGGGTGTTTGGATGTGTTGTACATGTACACGTACCAGACCAGAAAAGGAGCAAACTGGATAACAAGAGCAGAAAATGTATTCTATTGGGGGTTAGTGATGAGTCCAAAGGGTGGCGATTGTGTGATCCAACCTCAAAGAAAGTCATAACCAGCAAAGATGTTGTGTTTGAAGAAGAGACATGCTGGAACTGGGGCATTGCAACAGCAGAAATTCAGCAGCCTTTAGAGTGGGCAGATCAGCATGAAAGTGGTATAGACACAGATCCAAGTGATGAAGAATCAGGCCCTGATGAAGAAAATGACAGCACCTCCAGTGCTACCATTAACACACCTAATGTTGGCCCTAATCCGTCGCATGAAGGGCCATCCCAAGGGAGGGGTACACGAAACAGAAGAACTCCAGCCTGGTTGGCAGATTATGATGCTGGAGAAGAGTTCGATGAAGAGGAAAATCTTAATGTAATGATGTTGGTGACTGAAGGTGATCCAGTAACTTTTGAAGAAGCTAATAAAGATAAGAAGTGGAGAGAAGCTATGCTAGCAGAAATTGAAGCCATCGAAAAAAATCAAACTTGGAAACTCACTAATCTGCCTGAAGGAGTTAAACCCATTGGAGTTAAGTGGGTTTTTAAAACTAAACTTAATGAAAATGGGGAGGTTGAAAAATTCAAAGCTAGGCTAGTGGCAAAAGGATATGCACAACATTATGGCATAGACTACACTGAAGTATTTGCACCAGTAGCAAGGTTGGATCTATTTGTTTGATACTTGCAACAGCTGCACAATACGACTGGGAAGTCTTCCAACTTGACGTGAAAAGCGCTTTTTTGCACAGAAAGCTTAAGGAACGGGTGTTTGTGCAACAACCTGAAGGGTTCATCAAACAAGGAGAGGAAGAAAAGGTTTACAAGTTGAATAAAGCCTTATATGGGCTTAAGCAGGCCCCAAGGGCCTGGTACAGCAGGATTGAAGCATACTTTATGCGAGAAGGCTTTGAGTGGTGTCCAAGCGAGCATACTTTGTTCACTAAAACCAACAGCGGTAAGCTTTTAATTGTAAGTTTGTATGTTGATGACTTGATATTTACTGGAAATGATAGAAGTCTGTGTGAAGAATTCAAGAATTCCATGATGTTGGAATTTGTGATGTCTGATTTGGGAAAAATGAAGCATTTTCTGGGTATTGAAGTGAAGCAAAGTTCAGATGGAATTTTTATTGGTCAAAGAAGGTATGCCAAAGAGGTGTTAGCAAGATTTGGTATGGAAAATAGTAATGCTGTGAAAAATCCAATTGTACCGGGCTCAAAGTTGTCAAAGGATTCCAGAGGAGAAAGGGTTGATGAAACCATTTTCAAACAGATGGTTGGAAGCTTAATGTATTTGACTGCAACCAGACCAGACTTGATGTATAGTGTGAGTCTGATAAGCAGATTTATGTCTACTCCAACTATGATGCATTGGCTTGCTGCAAAACGAGTTTTGAGGTATTTGAAGGGGACAATTGATCTGGGAATTCTTTATAAAAGGGGGACCAAGGATACTAAACTGATTGGTTTCACAGATAGTGATTATGACAGTGATATAGATGATCGAAGGAGCACTTCTGGTTTCGTGTTCATGCTTGGAAATGGGGCAGTATCATGGTCTTCGAAAAAACAACCAGTGGTTGCCTTGTCCACCACGGAGGCAGAATACATAGCAGCGGCCTTATGTGCTTGTCAAAGTGTTTGGCACAGAAGGGTGCTCGAGAAACTAGGAGTTGAAGAAAAAGATGAAACTGTTATCATGTGTGACAACAGCTCTGCCATACAGCTGTCCAGAAATCCGGTGTTCCATGGTAAGAGTAAACATATTGATGTAAGGTTTCACTTCTTGAGAGATCTAGTGAATGATAAAGTGGTTGAGTTCAGATACTGCAGTACACATGATCAGATTGCAGATGTGATGACAAAACCGTTGAAGCTGGCACAATTTGAACGACTTCGGAGCATGCTTGGAATGACAGAAATAACCAAAGTAAGCTAAATGCTGGTGGCAGATGCTTTAGCTTAAGGGAGGGAATGTTAGTTAGTAACTGTTAGTAGCTGTTTTGAATAAGACTTGGTCATTAGATAGAGCTATTCTTTAGGAGATTCTTTTGCTATTCTTTTGCTTTTCAGTTATGTAACTGGCTATTTATAGCCCCTTCATTTCTTAGTATCAATGCAACATTCCTTCAGTATTTAGTCTCTGATTCTAACACTATATATTACTGGACTCATTTTTTAGAAAGTTGACACTTCTTGTTTTTCATGTTGCTATATAATTATATATACCATCTTTACTCCATATATAATATGCTCGTGATTTATAGATATACACCTTCTTTAACTAGTGAATTAAGAGGTGTATGTTGGAGATGTATTAACTCAGTCGGTACGTGCCACCCACCTTATCTCCTATACCTTCATTCTAATCCCATCTCTCATTGTATTTGTGCAGACAAATTGGAGAATGTCGGCTTGCCCCAAAACAGGGAGCCCTTGCCACTTATATAAATACAGGAAGCAGAATACAATATACCCTAAATAATGAAAAGACTATACTGCCCTTTATCAATACGCACTTATCCTAATGCACCCCCTCGATCTGATCAAGGTGAAAAAATGGACAGATTGGACTTATGACGACTAAACAATTAATTAGTAAGATCTTTTGTAAAAATATCCGCAACCTGCAACCCGACTAGAGATGTGCCGAACACGAAGACTGC